GCATATTGTTTTGTAGATGAAATCCACGACCTTACCGATCAGCTCTCCGAGGGAGGCCGATCCACACACGAGCTTGACAAAGCCCGTAGGAGGCTCGAGATGGAAAAAGAGGAACTCCAGGCCGCTCTTGAAGAGGCTGAGGGTGCTCTTGAACAGGAGGAAGCCAAGGTCATGCGTTCACAGCTTGAAATCGCCACCGTCCGTAATGAGATCGACAAACGCATCCAGGAGAAGGAAGAGGAATTCGACAACACCCGGTAAACGAAATAACATTGTACATGATGTTTTGGTATCAATTTTTATCATCTTAAATATGATAAAATAAAAGAGTAATATGAAGATTCACTGACAAGTTATTAGAACTAGTTCTTATTCAAGATATTTGCTTTGCAGTCGTAACCACCAACGTGCACTTGAATCCATGCAAGCTAGTTTGGAGGCTGAGGCCAAGGGTAAATCTGATGCCATGAGGATCAAGAAGAAGCTTGAACAGGACATCAATGAGCTCGAGGTTGCTCTCGATGCTTCCAACAGGGGCAAGGCCGAGATGGAGAAGACTGTCAAGAGATACCAGCAACAGATCAGGGTAAATATGTCATTCTGGTATAACATCAAATATCCCGCTTCATAAGTAATATGGTGAAGTTTCAATAGTATTTTTTAATTAATAATTCTTCAATGCAAAACCATTTCAGAAATTTAAATTGATGATTATTGAATGACAATATTTCCTCATAAAAACATTTAACATTTATAGGAGATGCAGACATCCATTGAGGAAGAACAGAGACAGCGTGATGAGGCTCGTGAGTCATACACCATGGCTGAGAGAAGATGCACTCTTATGTCTGGTGAGGTCGAGGAGCTTAAATCTGCCTTGGAACAGGCCGAGAGGGCCCGCAAGGGATCTGACAATGAGCTTGCTGATGCCAATGACCGTGTCAATGAACTCACATCTCAAGTTTCATCCGTCCAGGGCCAGAAGAGAAAACTTGAGGGTGATATCAATGCCATGCAGACCGACCTCGATGAGATGCACGGCGAGTTGAAGGGTGCTGATGAGAGATGCAAGAAGGCTATGGCTGATGCTGCTCGTCTTGCTGATGAGCTCCGCGGCGAACAAGATCACAGCAGCCAGGTGGAAAAAGGACGCAAGAACTTGGAGAGCCAGGTCAAAGAATTCCAGATTCGTTTGGATGAAGCTGAGGCTTCCTCACTCAAGGGAGGTAAGAAGATGATCCAGAAACTGGAATCCAGAGTACATGAGCTTGAGGCTGAACTTGACAACGAACAACGCCGCCACGCTGAGACCCAGAAGAACATGCGCAAGGCCGACCGCCGTCTCAAAGAATTGGCCTTCCAGGCTGATGAGGACAGGAAGAACCAGGAACGTCTCCAGGAGCTCATTGACAAACTCAACGCTAAGATCAAGACATTCAAGCGCCAGGTCGAGGAAGCAGTAAGTATTTTATTTCCTTTTTAAAATATGTTTCCCTGTATCGATTGCCAGGTATCATTCAGACCGATGCGATGTGTATCTTATAATATAAAATCAAAAGTTAAAAGAACTTCATGAAACGTTTCATTTTTCTCTTTTGTCTTTTACAGGAAGAAATCGCCGCCATCAACTTGGCCAAATACCGCAAAGCCCAGCATGAGCTAGAGGAGGCTGAAGAACGCGCTGACACCGCCGACTCTACCCTCCAGAAGTTCCGCGCTAAGAGCCGTAGCTCCGTATCTGTCCAGCGATCCAGCGTATCCGTTAGCGCTGCTAACGTAAGTATTTGTTAAAATTAAGTTAATATTGATATTGGATTTGATACATGTAATGCGTATATGTAAAAAACCTATGTTTTTTATCTATTGAAACTTTTACAAACATTTTTTTTTTGTAAGATAATCGAATATATCGATATATTAAAAAAAAAAAGTTTGTTTTGATGAAGAACGCACGTTTTTCAGTATATTACTAGATTTCTGTATATTTATCACAGCCGGGATTACTGAGTCCAAATGTTGGTCGAGGAATTAGTACTCGGAGAGAATCGTCATCTGCAAAATAGTTACATTACCACAATACAAATAGGAGGTAAACCAGACGTGTGACAGCTATTAGTTAGGAATAGCTAGAGAGGATGTGGTTCCAGTTCCCTTGCAGTAGACCATTTGGAGATATTTTGTTTGTAGATCTCCGTAGTGTATGACTTACTTCAACTACTTACTCACGTTTGAATCCTAGTTACTTATAAGTACGTTAGTGTGAATTGATACTTAAGTTTTTAGTTTAGACATTAATGTGTCCCCTTCCCTGCAAATCTTACAGGCAGTCCATCATCCTGTTGAATAAATACCGTAAGTTATTACAAGCGCCCGTGTGAACGTTCAGCTCTCCATTGCTATTGCGCTGTTGATGTCTGTTGGCTATATTTTATTGCTGTTGTTTTTCAGTAAACATCTAACGAAGTTTACAACAGATATTAGTAAAACGCAATCAGTAAGTCAGTCGGCATGGGTTGAGTGAAGATCCCTCTATCTGTATTTGGTTTTTTTCTCGTGATCCTTTTGTAGTTTTCGTGTTCATTTCCTCTTCCCCGAGAAAGAAAAAATATAAAATAATTTAAGTTTTATCCTTTTCCAAAATGATGTTAATGACAAAAACAAAATATTTCCTCAAAAGAGAAACCAAAGCTACTGCATGTACAGCGGACAACTTTTGTTTGATATTATGAATAATCATCATAACCAAATGTTCATTTCCAGAAAAAAACACCATTCTAAAATGACCCTAACCTACTGCCATCCTCACTTAACACACATCATCACATATCTAATCTACTGTCATCCGCCGTGTTAATGTTTGTCAGTGATTTCTGACTTCTTTTGGTTTTACTTGTATCATTGCATGGTTTACAGAATTACCTTACTTCATGTCCGAAGTTTCTTGCTTGAAATGATAACTTAAAAGTATTAAAAAACTAGACCAAAAGTAAGATGTGTTTCAATACTTTTTCTCAATATATTTCATGGTAGGAATGATAACATACACTTCAAATGACAAACAGCTCCATTGAAATTGGAAAAGCCCAATTACATTAAGTTCATTAATGTTCATCCTAACTCGTGTTTTGAGTTTCAGTGGTTTTGCATCCATTGTTTTTAAACGATGTTGTTATTTCAGGAACCTGTGTCCTTTAATGTGACACAAACTTTAAATATGTGACATTTGAAATAAGATTTGTAAAGATTACCATAACCTTTTCTCTCAAATTCTCCAGGCTGATAAAAATACATCTGAAACATTTTTCTACATTTCATTAATACGAATGTATTGTAAAAAGTTCATTCGATTAATTTAATTTATATTTTATTTCTTAATTTATCAATTTGTATCTATAATACATAATTAATATATATTCTGTATACTTATGGCTGTTTTCTGTCTCTTGTAGTCCCCTAGTTCGTACAGTTACCTTTCCCCTAGAACAAGAGGATCCTCGGTAAAGAATTCATACCATTCTGTAACACCGTCCAATGAGGGGGATTATGACGGATATTGACCAATCAAATGACTCCATGTGGATTGTGTTCAGAAGATGCCAGTTTTGCTTTGAATCCACATAGTAAAAAACAATGTTAACATCACAAAACGTACAAACTGACCAAAGATACGGATGCTGCTGTTGTGTTTATCCAGTGTGTATTCAGCAAGCTTAGTGTGGATGAGCATATCTTCATTCTTCAACATAAAAAACATTTGTCAAGTCTATTACAGGAAAAGGTCCCAATCAGCTAATCCTTCCACGGCTAGAAGGATGCCTTACACAGTCTTGCAGGTGAAAAATCCGATGAATTTTTCGTTTGCTTGTGACTTGTGTCCCGATGTGTTTATATTTATTATTTATGAAATATTCAATAATATTTCTTCTCAGAGAGTTTGATTGTAGTGTTACTTGTTAATAATATTATTATCATAAAACAATTTATCAGCTTTAAATTATTTATATGATATTATTATAAAATAAAATCATCTTGAGATAACCCCTCGTAGAGGGATGCTTAGATACTTTACTCAGATGATCCCTCATTGGACGAAAAAATGCATATCGGAAACAACAAATATGTTTTATGTGTTTCTGTTTAATATGATGATGATGATGATGATGATGATGATGATGAACCTTAATAAAGCTCTTCTATGATGTATATATATCTCTTGGTTTTCAATGCTGCATGGTTTATTGTTTTTTGTGCAAACAGATGGACGAAATACAGTGTTTAACTATCTGCAATGAAACCTGTATCTTCCTAGCCTTGTAAACAGTCTATTGAATACCAATATCACAGCCAGGGATTCACTGTAGATAGTAGCTGACGTGACATTTGACGAAATAACAGGAATCATCTTTTCAATCAGAAGATGAAAGTTGGACATTTCATTTGTTCTCCAGTTTACATTATCAAGAATTACTATAACTATCCGTTCTAAAATTTCGTTCTATATTAAAATGCTTTAATGAAAGCTAATCATATATTTCACAATCTGATTGAAAATGGTGAATATGCTCATTGGCATTAGGTCGGTGGCCGATATGTTGATAAAATGACATACATCTTGACAAACAATAAAGAGAAAATCACCTACTGACAAGTATATGGAAACAAACATCTCAACGAGAAGGGAGTCAACTAGCACATCCCATTTAAGCAAGTCAGTGTATACCACTTTTCAAAGACGACCATATTATAATTCGTAAAACGATATATAGATGGATTTCAAAAACTACATGGAACATTACAGTGCTGTAACAAAACGTACTGGCATATCACAAATTTCATGGTACATATCAGTGCTGGTACTTCACAAACTTTAAAGTACTTTATAAGAGTCCTGGTTTTTCACAACCTTTATAGTAAATTACAGTGCAATACAGTGCTGGTATTTCACAAATTTTATAGTACATTACAGTGCTTGTATTTTACAAACTTTATAGAACATTACTGTGCTGGTATTTCACAAACTTTATAGCACACATTACAGTGCATGTATCTCACACACTTTTTAGCACATTACAGCGCGGGTATTTCACAAACTTTATAGCACATTATAGTGCTGGTATTTCACAAACGTTATAGCACATGACAGTTCTTGTATTCCATAAACTTTATAGTGCATTACTGTGCTAGTATTTCACAAACTTTATAGTACAATATAGTGAGGCATTTCAGAAACTATAAAGTACATTAGATATCGATAATGCTTACCTTACTGAGTGGTATACTGTAATACATAGACCCACCTATATGTAAGGTGTTTAGTTAACTTGGAGTGATAGTTATAACCAGGAATGTAAGACAAAAGAAACCATACACGATAACTAGATAGATTTACATTTTAAATCACCTGTAAAATATGAACGAAGACAAACAGAATAACTCTTCAGTGACTGTCTTATTTGCCGTCCTTAAATGACCATAGCTATTGCTAGGACGTTAAACAATATTACACCAAAATAAAGTGTCTTAT